CATTACTTTTTATGTCTAGTTTTTATTTTATAAATTTTTGAAGTATCGATGTTAATGGAACCATTAAAATGACTTTTTAAACGTGTCGTGACAGTAGCTTTATTCGAGTTCTCAAAAAGTACGGTTCTAGAACGGTTCAAAACACTGGCACAATATGATTTTTTGCAACTTTACACATGAATGATTGTCGTAATTTGACTGTGCGATTGTTTTAAACCGTTCTAGAACCGTACTTTTTTGCAACTCGAATTAAGCTTATATGTTTTTCTGACCTAATTAGGTCCTAAAGCTCCAAATATCTTAAATTCTTTAGATACTAAAGAGAATAAAACTAATTTGGTATTTTTGGTTCTAATTTGGTATTTTTTTGGAAATAATTTGGTATTTTTGGTACTTTTTCCCAAAATTGGTATTTATTGTACACCATTTTTGGCAGCGGTTTGCCCCTCGTCTTATGTCATTATGTCTTCTGAGCATTTTATTTTTCGGCTCATGTCAACACATGCCTTTTTTGCCACATAACCTAGAACTTTATCATATAAATATAGGTTAAACGTTGAATATTTATATATCTAATAGAAGCTTGTGATACAAAAATTTTGTAAAGAAGTACAAGATATTTAATATATGTTCAGCATCATTAGACTCATCGATGGCAGGAAATTATGCGTCTTCCTGGAATATCGATCTCAGAATATTTAGATCTTGAATTATTATTTCTGTAGAATTTGTTTGATGGGTAAAAAATTGTTCATTATTTAGAGTTTCATTATTTAGAGTTTACTAAACTTTAAAAAAAGTAATTTAAATGGTAGATGTTGCATTACACTTAATAATAAATTAAAAAACGATTAAAAAATCTACAGTGAATAAAATTAATTTAGGTATTTTTTTGCAGAAATTTAAAAATTTGTATTTCTAACTTATAAACATACAGAATGTGGTTAAGGTAGGAGATGGCAACATTGCATTCTCTCAAAGCACTATAAAGATATTTCCGAAAACTGAACAATTTTTTCAATATTTTCCGGAAAATGTGAAGAAAAATATAAAATTGTCAACATTTCTGTTTGCAAGAAAATCTCATGGCCGTGTTTCTTGTATCGAACTATACTACCAATTAAAATACTTACACATATTTCTGGTACACCCTGTATAAACGAACGATGACGTAAATAAATATAATGACACGGTAAATAAGATCCGTCAATCGAAATGTTCAGGAAACTATTCAATTTCTATGGATGTTCAGAGATGCAATAACGACTATGTCTACAACCCAAAGAAATTATAATTTTATTAAGTATATTAAAATAATTTCTAAACTGCATATTACGATTTTAAATTGTAAATAGGTAAATAAACTGTAATTGTAAATTTAAATTTTCTAAAAAAACAACTTTATGTCTTAATAAGAAATTTATTGACCGTGCTAGAAAGTTTGTGGGTGAAACTTTTCAGAAAGAAAGTGTTTGGGCTTAAAGTAATTCTTCCTCGCTCGCTTTAGAAATTTCCATTTATATTAAAACAAGTTTTAATCATTTTTCTGGGCTTAGTAGTAAATACGGTACGTCATATTACGGCAGAATATAGCGGGCAAAAATTCTCATTGTTACATAGTCATAGAAATATGAACTAGTTTTATAGAACATGACTTGGTTTTATATAATTATAGTTTATTGCCGGTTTTATTTCTGAATTTTTTGATAAGGATAATATATCATAGACTAACATGAAAAATCGCATTACCTTGCTTTCAATGGGATATCTGTTCTGTAGGTACGTTGATTAAAATAATTGGGAAGATGCGCCACCTCATGGGCAAATTCTTGACAAGGCTGATTTGATTTCCCCTTACATCTCAAGTGCTGTACGGTTGAGCCTCTACTCGTTCTGAGGCCAACGCATAAAACACTCTATTTTCCTAATTTGCCTAGCGAAAATATATCGAAGAATATATCGAATCAACGGTACGTATCTTTGAATACATGAATCGTATTAATAATAAGTAAGTAAAAGTGGTAAGTTAAAGTAATGAATAAATATTTTTATTTAAAAATGGTGGACAATTACTGTAACTTATAAAATAAAATATCTTCTTGAACTGATTTTAATTTTTAATGTTGCAATTTTATAAGAATCCGTATGTGGCCGGCCGTAGCTCCAGCGTTAGTGTGTCGATCTGCGGAGCGGAAGGTACTGGGTTCGATCCCCAGCCAGTACGGTCGCTTTATTTATTTAAGTAAAAATTTTTATTTATCTAAATAGAGCGACCAACGAGCCGCCACCTCAAGGAAGGCAATGGCAAACCACCTTGAGTATATTTGCCTTGTACAGCCTCTCAAATATAGTGCCGTTCGGATTCGGCGATAAACTGTAGGTCCCGTGTACTTGTGAAACACTGATGACACACATCACAAGTACATGCGAGAGGTAGCCGACGCTCTATATAGAGTATGGCACTGTAAGAAGAGATAAAATAAAATATCTTCTTGAACTGATTTTAATTTTTAATGTTGCAATTTTATAAGAATGATCGACTTGTATACAGGGCGGCAGCTTCTAGTAAGATGCATTCTAGAAAGAAAATTGAAACTAGTTTTAATAATGAAGTTTGTGTTAAAATATGTGGGGTGTTGACACATACATGTACATGTACACATACAAATGTACCATTATAAAGGGTGGCAAAATTTTTAAATTTTTAATAAAATCTAACTAAATTGCAGGTTAGTGTTTATAGCATGCTATGCAGTTAAGGCATTCATTGTATGATAAACCAATTATTATCTTGTTATAAAAAGTTCTATAATAAAATAGGTATTCTATTAACGTTTTCAACATTAAATCGTACTTTTTTCAGTTTGGAGAGAAATAGACTTACCTGCTTTTTTCCCCTGGCCCTCCAATTGTCATATTTTATCAACAAATTTTAAATATGAGTATTGTCAAAGTGACTTAAATTACAGTGTTTTGTATACTGGGTGCGTCTCAAAAGTGGCTTACCAATTCTTTCAGATTACAGAACGAGATTTGATATGTTAGTATATGACATAAATTAGGATTGATTGACGTATTCAATTGTTTTCGGTCACTTCCTGTTTCACCGGAAATGACTACAACTTTTGATTTTTAAATGGCACCCTCGGTATTTTGTTACTTCATTCGATAGAAAATGATACTCTGAATAGAATGACACATTATATGTCAACTTTTGATATTTTCGAATATGGTTTATTTGAAATTGTAACATGCGGTTCATAACGACAATTTGACGCGAAATACTAAGTGTGTGGTATCAAATTATTCGTAAAAAAATGTTTTTTCGAAATATGCTAATGAGCCACCCTCGTTCCATTTGAAAAAATTGAGGTATGATTGAAAACAGAATTTGGGCATCTTTTAACCGGCCAGGACAAGACACTAAAAACTTTAGACGATTGAACCTATTTTTCCAAGATTCCTTTATTAAAAATTAGTGTTTTTAAGATAGCCATGGCACTCTGGATTGAAATTTACAATACAACAGTTGTTCGGTCGGTTGAAACAAAATACAATTTTGTCTCAACCGAAAATGTCAAAAGTTGACATATGATATGTCACTTTATTCAGAGTGTCATTTTCTATCGAATAAAATAAAAAAAACACCGAGGGTGTCATTTAAAAATCAAAAGTTGTAGTCGTTTCCGGTGCAACAGGAACTGACCAAAAACAATTAAATTCGTCAATCAATCCCAATTTATGTCATATACTAACATACCAAATCTCGTTTTTAATAAAATAATAATAATAAAAATGTTATAGGGATGAGCCACTTTTGAGACGCACCCGGTATATTTTTTAATTTTCGGTCTATATTTAATTTTAATAAAGCGTTCGTTATATTTTCACACCGATTTTTTTGACGATATTCAAAATTTTTTGATATCATGTCACAAAATGAGTAAAAAAAATAGAAAATTAATTTTTGATTTTAAAATAGATGCGTTGGTACTCAACAAGTCGCGTACACATGAAAAAGTAAAAAAAAAGTCTCAACATTTTAAAATAGTTTTAAATAATACAAAAATGTTTCTGGTAGGCACCCAAGTCAACTCACTATATTTTGGTGGCGCGGCGGTCCCATACCCAAAATCAATATGTATACATATGTATAATAATACAATAATAAATAATAAAGTTATAATAATACATAATCCAAACAAGAAAAGTCAAATTTTAAAATAATTTTAACTGATTTTGTTTTATATCAGTGTAAGATAATAGCATTTTAAAAAAATCAAGATTTACAACCATTATAACTAAGTAGTTCGGTAATCGAAAAACTGACAATATTAATTTTTAACAAAGATGATTAAAAAAATATTTCGTAACTAGTATTTGGCTAGTGTAAATGTAAACTGGTATTATTGTAGTATTATAAGTTAGAAACACTAATTTATTAGTCAGTATTCTTGTTAAATTAACTTTATTTTATGTAATTTCTACAAAAAATATTAGTTTTTAAATTCTCGGAAAATGACCTACATTTTATATGTAGGTTTCTTATGTAGTTATATGTATCTATTCTTTGTAGGTTTTTTATATTTTTGAAAATAGGCATAAATCTTGAAGAGCTCTTCTCTTTGCAATTTTTGGATATTTCGGCACTAACCGAATGACACATACATCAAAATGATTTTTTATTGGGTATGTTGAAGTTATTCCACATAAAAGTTTATTAGATAAATCAAGTACTAATACAAAAAAATATAGCGGAAACTTTTTGCACTAGAATAAAGAGTAAACAAAATATTGAACAAAATTTACTTAAATAAAAAAATATTTAAACATAATTATCAATTAATTTTTTACTTAATCATATTACAAATCTGAATCGAAATAAAATTGATTTTAAGTCTCCAAGCTTATTTAAATTCATATCGATATTTTATCCTTCAAAATTTGCCGGCGCGATGGTCAAGCACGTTAGGGTCAAACGTGTATTTAATATCGACGCAGAATGTCAATTTGCCCAGTCATTAATGGGGTTATATCGCTGACAAATTAACTAAATGTATAAATAATAGGTAGATTAAAAGCTTATCTGTCATTACATCAAAATGGGTGTCACAGTAACAACTGGGATTTGCGTGCTCATGTTGGTTTCGATGGTTGAATATGGACAGTCGGCGGGATACGATTATACGCCATCTAAAAATGAAAAAACGGAGGTGGAGATTCAAAAAGTTGAGGTAAATTTTACTCTTTAAAAGTACACTTATACTATGAGAATGCACTTTTAGAAAGAGTAATGTTAATTTATATTCTAGTGTTAAATAGTTTTAAATCTTCTAGTCCTTTTTTAATTCTAGTTTTTATGGAAGTAAAACTCAAAGGTGAACAAAATTTATATATTTTTTCTTCTAGAACTGATCACAGTATACCAGATATTATTTTCATATTTTATAATTTCTTAACCTTTTAGACACACCGTTTAACTACATTACTCCAAAATTATATATTTTCATAGACGGACATTTTGCTAGTTATCATACCAAACTGAAAATAGTATTAACAAATAATAATAATAATATTAACAAACTACTAAATTAAAAAATGAATGATAAAATTTGTTTTTTTTTCCTTTTTTAGCAACACTAATTTTCTGATGAATAAATAGACGAAATATACTTTCAGAGTGGCATTTTAAAATATTCAGTGACATTTTAAAATATTTGATTAGTATTTTAAGATAATTGATTGTAGTGAATAGGGTGATCCAAATTGTATTCGACAGCATATTCTACCAATAAAAATACGTAAAGAGGTTCGTAAAAATGTATGTCCTAAAATGCTTCTTTTTGGAGGTACAGGGTGTAGAAATTTTATTTTTATTTCGATTTTTTCCAAATAACTTCTGAAGTAATGTCAATATTTGCATGAAAATAGGCGTCTGGGTGTTTTTTAGATGAGAAATTTGATTTCGATGTCAACATGATTCCTACTTGTAGGGTGTGCCACCTACATATTTTTAACTGGTTTGAAGAGTTTGAAGTTTGACTTTTCGGTTGTACCTGTACAAAACTACTAAATCGAATAATATCCGCCCTTTTCTACGTAAAAAACTAACCGTTCACAAGATATTTGGAACGAAAATTTGTTTAAAAAACACATGTCATTATTGACAAAAAACGGAAATAACCAAGAACGGGAATAACCAAGACAGACCGTAAAAGAATAGAGTGGATACGATAAAAGACCCAGGTAATAGATGCCATCTACAGAATCGAATCCCTCAAATGGCAATGGGCAGGACACCTAGCAAGAAGAACGTTCAACAGATGGACCATAAAAATTACAGCATGGTACCCACGAAGAATTAAGAGTCCTAGAGGAAGACCAAACCTGAGATGGGACCATGATATTAGGAAATTAGCAGGATTAGGGATAACTTGCGGCCGCATAGCCAACAATAGACAACAATGGGCCCAACTACAAAGAGAGTATATCAGAGAGGCTACACCATAATTGGAAATGGTTAAATAAGCTGAAAATTATGATGATGATGATGAATGACAAAAAATAAACACTGTTAACTAGATCTTTGATTGAAATGATAAATCTATGAACTTTTTATTACTAGATAGTTATTAGATTGAAATGAAAATTGAAATGTTTTGGTGCCAAAGGTTCAACAGAAACTGTTTGATCATATTTTTTTCTAGAAAAAATTATGATTAACTTAAAAGAATAAAAAAGTTAGATAGACTAGATAGTCAACATGTTCAATATTTGTTAATGATGATAATGTATTAATTATTTCGATTCCAAATATTTTGAGAACCATCACTAGTAGCAATTTTTACCAATGGACTTTTTTACGTAAAAACGGCGTAAATGTATATTTTTTCACTTAGTAATTTTAAGTAAGTTATTTTAAACAGTCATGAGGTACGAACGAAAAGTTATTACTACGAGTACTTAAACCAAAAAATAAGTTGGTGTTATGTTCACATCAAAATCAAATTTCTCATGTCAAAAAAACTACTTAGGCACCAATTTTCATCCAAATATCGCCATTAGTTCAGAAGTTATTTGGAAAAAATCGAAGTTACCTGTAAGTAATTCCGAAAGCATAGTTTCAGGACATGCATTTTTACGATTTTTTTTACTTATTTTTATCTGCAAGATAAAATATGCTGCCAAACTTTCCCGAATACATTTCTGGACAACGCTGTATATATTTTTTAAAAACAATTTTTATTTACTCTTCTAACATGACAAAAATTACAATAGTAAATAGTACAATACAAGTTGAAGCCCTTATATTATTAAAGCATTTTTTAAACCTTTGGCAGTTTAGTATACCGGGTGATATATTGGCATTGGAAACAGGAAATCCCATGCAAATTTTTAACTATCTAAATATTGTCTCCCCTGTTGATTTTATAGCGAAGTCATAAATAGGTTTATTAAAGGTCTGCGTATGCTGAATACACATGTCAAATTTGAACAAGCCGTTTTCAACTAATTTAAGAAAAACTGCATTTATTTTTAAGTAAAAACTGAACAGGTAACAATGCAAACCCAGGCAATTGTCAACATACCTTCAGTTGTCAATCTATGATTGAATGTAATTTATACGCTACTATCTTATAGTACTTACTGCTAGTGTACCCGATATGAATTTTTGTAATTTAAAACTTAGACAAAAGCTTAAGGTTTAGGAAATATAATTTCACATTAACAATTTGGCATTTACCTAGGTTTGCATTGTTACCTGTTCAGATTTAATTTAAAAATATATGCAGTTTTTCTTAAATTATTTTTTCTTAAATGAGTAATTTCTTAATTTTGCATGTGTTTCCCGCATACCCAAATCTTAAAAAGCAAAATGTAAATTTCGCTGTAAAATAAATAAGGGAGCCAGTATTTGGACAGTTCTCTTAATCCACAATCTTTGTCTAATATTGATTTAATTTATGAAGTTTATTTGTTATCTAGTAAAACTATCTTACGTTAGGTATACGAAATGCCTTGGATAGGTGACCAACAACCACAAAACAGTTACAGCCCGCCAAACCCACAGTACGGACCACCTAGTCAAGAATACGGACCACCTAGTCAAGAATACGGACCTCCTAGTCAAGAATACGGACCACCTAGCCAAGAATACGGCCCCCCTTCAACAGTCTATCCAGACTTAACGACTACTATCTCTCCATTAAATATAACGAACTCTACAGAAACTGCCGATAACACTACGATCCTGGAAAATGCCAAGCTTCAAAGTACAAACGGCGTTACGAGCAAAGGCCACTATTACATTTACCACCCCGGTGGCCTATTGCAAAAGGTTGTTTATTCAACCAAAGACGATGCTGAAAATATGGCGTTCTCGGCACAACTTAAATATAAAAACGTCGATCCTGTTAGAGGTCCAATTTATACGTACGATCCCGATACGTATGTTTTTTCTCGGCTAAATAGGAAGTGAGATTTATGTAGGTTATCGTAGAAATTATTTATTTCTCCCTTTTTAATATCATACCTCTCATCATTTTATTTATTATTTCATGCGTTCCGATATATTATTGGGTTATATTAATAAAATAATTTTTATTCGTAATAATTTTTATTTCATTATTGAATGTAGTTTTAATTTTAACATCACAACACAACAACTACACTACTCAAAACAATTATCTCATATTTCAATAAAAGTAATTATTACATTACTGTACTATTAAATTAAGCATGCATTTTTCTGCCTTTCTCTTGTGAGTTTTTTAGCATAATTAGGGCACGATAATTTATAATTTTTAGTCGGCCGACTATTTAGTTGCAAAAGTGAAAATATTAAAACCAACCCAACTCAATATTTGATTACATTGGGTAGCCTCAGGATATGCGCTGAGAGGCAATTTTTAATCGGCTGACTATTTAGTTGCAGATTTGTAACCGCTGTATCCTTATGGAGCCGCGTGCAATCCCAACGCGCAAACTCACATGCAATCAAATAGTCGGCCGATCGACTTCATAAGTATGTATTGTTTTCACTTTTTTAAACTAAATAGTCGGCCGACTAAAAATTACAGGTCAGCGCGTAGGCTTATTGTATCGAATTTCCTTCACAGTATCCATATTATTTAAAATCGTAAATCAGGGAGGGAGTTCAAAGTGTCTTGTTTTTCAAATTAATATTTTTTTAGAAAATATGCGATCATAGTTTTGAGTAGGTAGTTTATTATTTATTTTCTTCTAGTGTTTTATTGATTTCAACTTACAGATATTTTAAAACTGCAAAATTTAATCCTCATATTAAAAATCCTCATCTTAAAGAGAATTATGTTGTTCCATTTGGTATATGTTTCCATATTGTATACAACAGCGAAATATTTTGTAAGTATAGACCATTAGAAAAATTGTAAGTATTTTTTTTTTCAAACTTGTTGGATGGTTATGGTTTATTACCATCTGTCAATTACTTGATTACTGACCTTATGTCAATAAAAGTATGGAGAAATCTGTAAACTATACTTTTGTTGGCACACAGCATGGTTTAATATAAATATAGTAAAAAATAAGAAATAATAAGACGATTTTTTAAATAGTTTAACAATGTGGATTCAAATAGTTTCATATCGTTTAAGCCGATAAAAGGCGTACCGCCAGAACAGTTGACTGTTGCCCTGGAGTTTTACGATTTTAAGTTTTGGAAATACATTTTTTACTATATTGATAATTAATAATATTAGACAATGATTAAAACCAAATATCTTGTATAACCTTAAAAAAATAGAAGAAATAGGCAATTTAATTTACCATCGGTAACTGTTTTCTAAATGCACAGTTTTTGATTTTTCATATCAGTTTAATATAGTGGTATTAAATTACATTCCAGTATAAACTAATGCTATTTATTCATACTCCAAGTTTACTTATTTTTCTGAGGCCACTACAAAGTTTGACCTTGATTGCTTCGTGAAGTAGTACGAATAATATAAACTCGTATTATAAAAATTTTGTCGAAACTGATCGAAACGTTTCCCGAGACAATTCCAATGACAATAAAAAATAAACAACCAATCACGGTGTGTCTCGGTCTATTTCTATTTGTTTCGGAGTTTTGGGCCTGGACAAGCTACAACAGAAGAAAAGTATTCAGTTTACTTCTGAAAGTGTTTCGAGAAATGATTCGCGAAACGTTTTCCAGAAATTTCCAGAAATATTTCGTGAAACGTTTTGGCCATTGTATAGGAAGTGTTTTTGGGTTTGTTTCTTTTTTGTCGAAAAATACCGAATATTGCCGTTATTTAAAGCCGCTCGTGTTTTTTGTGCTATTAAAATAAATAAATATGGTATAAAAATTACTTCTTGCAGCAACACCAAGATCACGACTGGACTCTGCAAGATCAAGACTATGAGTTGCAATCCTGTTGTTATTAAACATAAATACAGCTAGCTGTATTTAATCCAGCAATTTTTTGTGGTTACCTCGACAAAAAACTCTTAGAAATCTTCTTATCTTCCACATATCTTTTCCTAAGATTTTGCTTTTTCAGTTCTGATACTATCAAACTGATTTTTGTAGAACCAAATTGCGGGTTCAGCCTGAATTTCAGTAATGACTCTATTCGTATCAAATAACCTCATTTTATCAATGGAGAAATAACGTACGCTGCTGTTTGCCGCTGCAATATCCATTTAAAACTGATCCGTATAAAAACAAAAACGTTTTGGTCAGAAGTTGGCTTGCAATCAGGACAACGTCCAAATGATAAGGAATCGTTTTTACATGATTTTTAGATGTACACCGATATGTAATAACTAGGGATAGCAAATTACTGACTTTTCGATTTACCGCTAAACTGCAATTTAAAACAACAATCAGCACAATTACGGTTTATCTATATTTACAGCTTTTTCCTTTCAGAATCATCGAAAAAAAATATAAAACCAACCTCTATAAAATTAAAGAAGCATTTTCAAATATTTCCTCTAATTCCTTCTTGCTGAAAGCATTACATTTCTGTTTTCAATGTTTTGGTAATAACCATAGAGAGTATTTATTTTACAGCTTGGTTAAACTTGGTTGGCTTTTGCTTTTTTCTTCTTATTGAAAGAAATAGATTTTCCTTAATCGACAACAGAGTTGTTGCCGATGTTAGAAGAACGGGAGTATTAGCGTAATTCAACTTTGACTCTTTTAGAGACTGAGTTAGAATTAACAAATTCATCAATGTCAATAGCGTTCGTGTTCCAATTTTTTATTTCTATCTTTGAGGTGTGTTGAACTAGTTTTAATTTTTAATGTCAATTGGAAATTAATTAACTCTACGGTGGGGATCCTTGACAGTTCTGTTTAACGATTCATTTGTCACATTTGATTTGGATTGGATTTGAAATTCTGTTGATGTCGAAGATGGAGAGCTGGCCTCTGTGGAGCTGTCTCAGATACTGGCTTTTGTCAACGCGCTGAGACTGTATGATGAGTTATAACTAGTTATTTCAAGAAAGCGAAACACACAACAGATCTGTAAGGTCGCGGTGAATAACACCCTCCTAAAATTCTACATTCATCGTAGACGATATCGGCTTTAAGACAGCGCTTTTTACTCCACGTGAATAAAGTTAAGGTCGTTCAGATCAGTGCTGGCACGAAAAAGGAAACGTCACCTTAAAACACTTTGTTTGCTTTTATTTTAAGGTTTATGATAAATTTATAAAATAAATTTGAAAATTACTGCGTTATAAAAAAATAATCATTCACCTTGGTCTCGTAAACCGGAACTTCTTTTGCAGTTTATTTTAAAGTCTTTTGAAGAATTTATTGCAATCTAGATTTCCCGATTTAGAGCGACTTGGCGCGCTTGTCGTGAGATCTATAAATTCGTTTTACTGACACGAACCATTTAGGTTGACATGACTTAACGATACGTTTGGAAATTTTGTCACGAATGACTAAAATATAAATAGTAAATTTTAAAAGAAAAATTATATGTTTCTTGAAGTTATATTTTTGTAGTATCGCAGTATCCTTTATAATGTATACCTCTACATGTCGTAATGAATTGTAAGGGTATAAAATGATCAGAGAAATAAAGATATATACAGTCATTATAAAATATGAAAAAAAATAATGATAATGTAAACTTACACAGTTTCTTTTTTTCGCCCGTAGTTTTAGAAGAGCTTCGCAATACAATTAATACCATCAAAAATAAATCTTCATCTGGGACCGACGGGCTAACTTTAAAAATGTTTTTGAATCTACCAGAAAGCACTCTGAATCACCTAACTACTTTAATAAACATGTCATTCCAAAATGGTATTTTTCCAAAATGTCTTAAGACGGCAATAATCATTCATCTGCATAAAGGAGGAGATAAAGATGAAGCTTCTAACTATCGCCCAATAGCACTCCTTCCAACGCTATCTAAGATCATAGAAAGGTTGGTTAAAAGAAGGCTGGTATCTTTTCTGTTTAAGTACAAAATACTTAACTGAACATCAATTTGGATTTCTAAGCAACAGGATTTCTAAGTCCACAAATGACGCTATGTTTTCCCTCCTTAATAAACTTTACTCCAGTCTAAATAACCATCATTCTACAGCAACAATTTTCTGTGATTTTTCTAAGGGGTTCGACTGTGTAAACTATAAGATCCTAATTAATAAACTGCAGCACTATTGGTTCAGGGGAACATCTCTCGAATGGTTTAAGTCGTATCTGAGCAACTGAACTCAACTTGTGAGGGTGGATACCACGTTATCTTCTAGCAAGCCGATAGAATGTGGAGTACCACAAGACTCAGTACTAGGCTCTATTTTGTTTCTTCTTTTTATTAACGACATTGCTAACGTAAACATCAGTGGTAAAATATGTCTTGCGGACGACACTAGCTTCACTTGGAGCAACAAGTCACGGCACTTCATACGATTATATTAAATGACTTAATCACCATTAAATCTTGGTGCGATTCGAACGTCCTGAGTCTCAACATTTTTAAAACTAAAGCTTTGTCGTATACAAACTCGCTGCAGCCTTTTTGTACTTAACAACACCACCATTGATGTCGTAAAATCTGTAAAATTCTTAGGGCTTGTTGTAGACAATTCTCTGAAATGGGACATGCATATCGACGCTTTGTCGAAAAAATTGAGCTCTGCCTCTTTTGCATTAAGATCTGTTTCTAAGGAGCTTAACTTGTCAGTGGCTAGAACTGTTTATTATGCACTTTTTGAGTCGCACCTCAGATATGCCCTTCCATTCTGGGGTACGTGTTGTGCGACTCAATTTGACCGCATTTTCAAGCCCCAAAAGAGAGCTGTTCGATATTCACTGGGACTAAAAAGCAGAACTCATTGCCTTTTTTAAAACATTAAAAATATTATTTTAATAAATAAATAAAGTATCAGCTTCTCAAGAAAGGCCATCTCACACTTATCCACTCAGGAACGCGGAGCAAGATCTTTATCTACCTACCCCACGCTCAGAGTTCAGAAAAAAAAATGCACAATCACCTGCCATTTGAAATCAAATCCATAACATAATTTTCTTCATCGCAAAGCATTGAAATCTTATTTACTAGACAAGGCTTTGTACGCCGTAAATGACTTATATTTTG